CTCCCTGTACAGCCCACTCATTCTCACCTTTCTCCATGTTCCCTTCTGTCTCATCAAATGCTCTCGTACACGCTGAATGCTGTGAAATAGGAAAACCGACTAATGTAGCACGCTGCTGCTGTAAGTCAAGGTAAAAGCAATAATCACTCGTTGATGTTTTTAATTAAACCTAGACGCGTTAGAGAAGAATCCTTCCTCTTTAATATATTATAAATCTTCTAAATGTATCATTTTTACTTTTATTATTACAGTTACAATTAATATTGAGTTACTGAACATTAATGGTATCATCACTGCCTGTTCATTGCCCCTTGGTGAAACTGTATTGCCATTACATTCTTAACATTGACCTGCCAGGAGCCACCGACACACAGCTCGATTGTATAATGTGTGTGTATGTGAATGAATGGGAAAAGATTAAGGGGGGGGCATTTGGTCACTCTCAGCTGCTTGGGTCTGCAGTTCTACTCCTCCAGCTATGGGTTGCTATAGAAACAGCTCTCTCAAAGGAAGTCTAGCCATCTTATTTCAGGTCTCAAAAATCAACCTTGGCTCTTATACAAACAAAATAATTTTTTAACATCCATGTCTTTGTTCCCCAGGACCTCCCTCGCCGTTTCATGTGCAGCCGTGCTCGACCTCGAGGTCAGATGAGCCACCTGCTACCGTGTGCTTTTCAGAGGTCACACACAGCCAAATGAAAAACAGCCAGTTTACTATTAATGAGTAAAGGCTTGCTACTCATCACTGTTACAGAGCCAAGGACTCAATGCAATATAAAAGAACTTGTTTAGTTCGCTCATGTGTTAAAACAACACATTTAAGTGTTATAAAACAAATCCATAAAGCTATACAGATGCTGATAATCCTGGTACCTAGTACGTTTCATGCATGTTGATTAACAGACATACGATCAGCTACGATCCCTAGAGTAAGATTTTTATTAAAGAGATCTACTCATTTCCACCTCAGTTTTCATAACCCTGGTCAACACTAGGTGCAGCGCTCACAGCTCCCCCGACTCTAAACTGCTCCCAAATAACCTGTGACGTGTTTTAGTTTTACACAAGACTTCATATTTCTGTTGCCCAGGGGTGTCGTCTGGCAAACAGCTAATAGAAGCATAATTGTATATGTATATGCCTTGGTGCCACCCTTCCAGTTCATCTCCACCTTTTTCGTTTTTGCTCACTTTCCTCTCTTTGAGACAAATTTCTTCTAACATGTAAAGAGTTGGTTTGAACAGTGGGTGAATGGGGCTTCTGTATTTGATATTACTAATGTCACGTAGAGCCAAGAGTAGAAAAATACAGTGTGAAATGGAGCATTTAGAGGAGTATATGCGTATATAAACTGACCTTCTTATTTAACGTGTTGGCCATGCTTAATATAAACATCCAACATGTCCAACAGAACATAAGATAGAAAATGAGGAGATATAATGATTGGTTTCTTTTAAGGGACCTTTGCTGTAACCGTCTCGGTCACTGTCTGCACTTAATGAGCTCACAGTTATTTCTATTTGCAACATTTCAGCCAGACAGACCTTATCACGCATGAATTTTTCATGACACAGGGAATCGCTTCTGACACCAGTGTTCAGGCTCTGAGTATACATCCTCTCTGGAGAAGGATGTAATGAACATGGAACACCTCCCCCTCTGTAAGCTCCCAGCATGTGTGTTTTTTTCTAATTAAATCTCTGCGGGGTTTCAGAAAGACTGCATTTTTTTGTTCTGTACCCTGTGTTCCCACCAGATTCCCGTTTGGAGGTACAAATATGGCACATGGGTATCGCTCTTGCCCACGTGAAAGGTTTAATAACGTGTATCTTGCAAGATTTTTTGGAAAATAGCTCAAATTATGTAAAAAAAAAAAGACAAAAGAAAAACAATAGTACGTATAACATTCAAATAATCTACACAAACGTTATAAAAGAGAGAGCGTGCGTCCCTGTGATCGATCTACTCCACACACTGCTTCCCATCACACACCTGTGGGATGAAAGTGACCATACTTTCAAACAGCTCTGTTTTACATAAAGTCTATTACCCACCAAAACCCCACATTAAACCTGCCTGTGCAGGAGGCTGGCTCCTGTTTGGGCCACACATTTTCATCCTCAGTGTCCACTTTCTTCACGCTCCTTTGCTGTTTTGGCTCAATAAAACAAAAACATTTGATAAGACTTGTCTAGAGATCAGCTTTACGCTCACTGAGAGCAACAAATAAATAAAATAAACGTGAATGTACAAAGCGCTGCTGTTCAGATGACGCATAAGCTTTTCTTTTTAAAGCAGTGTGAGCTCTGAACTAGTGTGGACATGGGTTAAAGGGGATGTGAGAACAGAAGCAGAATTTCACCACTTCCTCTTCCCGTCTCCATTAACAGCATCATTATACTCCTTATGCTTCTATGGCAACATTTTCCACCAGTGATTTAGTGGGCCAACGTAATCTATAACAGTATATTATGATGGGTTGTTTTATACTACAAAGTAATTCTGCAACAAAATAATTTTTTAATAAAAAAACAATTAAAAAGTAGAAAATACTGAGTGCAAGAAGTACATCTTTTATATACAGTTTATCATCAAACCCTTTCCTTTAGTTGCAGTCTGAATTATTTCACTGTTAGTTAAATAAAATCGTGTTTTTCACAGGTTGAATTTACCTTTAATTTGACTCAAACTCATAAATCATACATCACAGGTAATAATAATGAGAAACACTGAAGAAAGGAATCGTAATGATAACAAAAAGTAGACAGCTCTTATTGGGAATTGTAATTTAACGCCAGAAATCATTATGCCTCTTCTTACAGCAGGTCTCACTTTCTACTTTAAAAAGATACGTCATTTTGAAATGAAACCTCTCGAGTACATAGAAGGAGATGGCAGCACCGCACGGTTTAAGCGAACAAGGAAGGGAAACACAGTAAGCCAGTCAACTCGTTATCAGTCAGCCCTAAAACGGCCCTTTAATTAAAAGCAGGAGGTAATGAACGCGCTCGGGAGTCTGATTAGCAGCTAATGCCCCTTGCTGGGAGCTGATGGGCTTCCCCGTCTGCCCTTTTAAAGCCAGACTGAATGGCACAATACTGTGTGTGTAGTGACTCACCAGAAGAAGCCATCAACCGCAGCAGTACACCTCTGGATTAAAAACTGTAACGCCTCGGGATTTACAGACTTATAAAGTGGCTTGGAAGTGTAAGTGTTGAATATGTTTTACATTAGGAGGGCTCTTTTTTTTGAACTTCTTCTCACTATCCTCTCTGAGGATGAATCACCTCAGTGGTTGGCATAATAATAAGCCAGTCAGCTACTAACACCCTCAGCAAGCCAGCAGGGAATAATAATAATAATGATAACAATAACTAGATAGATAGATAACGTCAGTGCTAAGATGAAGCTCAAAGTGTAATTAAAACTGTAAGTGCAAACAGGTAATTACATCGATACAAACGGCTAAAATTGTTAGCTAGATGCATTTAACAGAAATGAGCATGCTAACAACGTCACATTCTACCACCGGATGTAGCACGAATTCAAACAAACACAAGTTTCTTCGTATGAAAACATGACAGCGTGAACATGTCATTACTAACCAGTTGACTGTGTAGCAAGAATAGGCCAGCGTGCTCTGCTAGAGCACCACTGTGTGGAAAACGAGGACTGTCAGTTACCGATTAATGTACTTTATTTGGATTGCGGTGTTATATTTTGTGCGTAATCTATTTGTGATGATAACTTTGGGGGATATTATGCTGCCTTTACTAGAGCAGCTAAAGTAATATTTAACTAATGCAACACTTAGTTGATTATTGCAAGTTAATTTAAGGACTAGACAGCAGCTTGTCCATGAGTTAGGTAGCCAAGAAGTATTAATTTAGCTGATTTAATATTTCACCACAAATATTAACTTCAAATTAATAATCACAGTTTTCATTGTGGTGCATAACGACACATCGTGTTGCTGTTCTTAGGAACAAAATCCTTTCCATCAATATCCTCTGCACACAGTGCAAAGTGTATGCTTGCAGACAGGGTCACTCTCTGTCAAGTGAAGGCTGTCTGCGCTCTGTTTTATTCCAAAGCTGAAGTCTGCCGACGCAGTAAGAGCTGCTGAGAGCTGTTCTCTCAGATTTTCCGAGACACAGTAAAGGTATGAATAAAAAACAAAAACAAAACAGTACGCATATTTTAAATGAGCTTAAAGGCAGCAAGTAAAGTTAGATAAAAGCAAGTGGAACAATCCACAAGAACAGTATTATTTCCAGAGTAAGATCATTAATCGGTTAGGTTGGGCTCATTATTTAATCCTCCACATCTTTATCACACTGCCTCCTACACGAGGACAGTTCTCTTTGTAGCATCTATTATTATCCCATCGAGTTCAGACATCTATAGAGTCAGTTGGATCTGGAGCAACCCACTCAGAAGCATACGTGGTGTCAGCTGAAAGCTCATCAAGGCCTGGGTACTAATCCAGCCATCCATGTCGAGCCAAACAATGTTCAAATCTCCCCAAAGTCTCCAAGCCATTTTTGTCTAGGATACAGTAATCCCTTGGTCTCTGTGCTGCAGAGTGAGCATGCATTTGAATATATTAAAACCTCCACCAAGGAGGTGATAAGCTGAATTTGAGCTCCTAAACCAGACTGCTATTAAGTTTCCTGTGAAAGTTTCACCCAAGGTTGTTCAAAGAGTTTCACTGCAGAGCTCTCAGAGGGCTGACAATGGGTTATCCTTGGTGCATTGGGCTTCTCTGGCATGCTTAGTGAAGTCTGTCCCTGTCATCTTCACAGGGAGGACATACATATCTAACTTTGTGCCCATTTGTACCTGTTAAAAAGGTGGAATCTGGAGGTGTATAGACACAGTGACTGCAAGCAGTGAATGTAGATCATAAACATGTGCAAAGAAAAACATAAAGGCACATATAAGTAACAATATAAATGAATTTAAGTTTAATATAAGAGCATTTAAAGATGATGTTACCTTCCAGAAGTTGTCCACCTTGCCATAGACTAGTGACTGATTCTGTCTCTTAACGTCATCGATGTGCTTGATGTCACTGGCGTTGAGGTGCTGCTCCACAACAAAGCCCAGGAAACTGTTGTCTGGGGTGTGAGCTGCGACAAAACGGGGGAAAGATTATGTGAGCAATTCTACAGAATTGGTGTCATTTGTACCTGACAAAGGTCAGCTTTGCATTTACGTGTAAAGCTTTTTTGGCGCCATGTGACATCTATCTTTGTCAGCACACCATGTGGCATCGTTCAACATTAACCATGAGACTTCATTGTTAACTGTCCTGAAAACCTGAGACTGACTGACTGAAAGACCACGTGCACCTAACAATAACTAAACAATAAATTTTATTTAGAAGACTCTGATGATGTCACTGCATCAGGGCTTGAATATGAAAAACAAACAAACAAACAAGGAGGACGATAAATGTTTTAATTTCTCTAAAAATAAAACACACTTAAATTGATCAGAGGTGAGCTCTGCCGGGAGAGAGACCAGCGAACACTGCATCCTGGTTCCTTTCATTCCACTTCTACTCAGCGTTGAGTGCGGAGCCTGAAGCTGGCAGCGTTTTACCTCACTAGCATCTGCCTTGTAAAACAAGTGTGAAGACAAGGGTTTGGAGCGCGGACAGGAAAGACTCAGTCAGGAATTAAATGGCCTAATAACATCATTTAAAACGAAATAACGGAGCACTACAAAGCAGCCCGTGCCTTCACCTTTGGAAGCGAACGGAGCGAGGTTGTGTTGGGGAGGCGGTTGGCTGCGCATTTGTGGTTTGGGCTGGAGCTCCGGGGAGCCACTGCGGTCAGAGCTTGTTCTTACCGCAAGCTTATTACTACAAAGGCAAACTGAGGTCAGTCAGTCAGGGGAGACTGAATGAGCTTCAGGGCAGTAAATAAGGGAAAGATTGAGAGAGGAATTCAACTACCTGCCAGCACTTAAACAACTCAAGTTCAAGCGCTGCAATTAAACTGTGGATTAATAATACTTTATGTAACATGAAGGAATATATTGTGACTTTTGACACGTGATGGCAGGAATACAGAAACATGACTTTTCTCAGTTCTACAAGTAAAACTGACGTGTTCTTTGTCGTGGTGATGGCTGGATTGGTACAGCATCCCGCTTAAGAAAGAGACAGTGTTTGCTTTTGCCATCTCACCGGGCAGTTCACATATTGGCTCACGCTTAATACGTTTAGGCAAACAAAAAAAAGAAAAGGGAATGGCTATGCAGAGTAAAGCAACAGTCCACGCAACTCCTGAACGATGACAAAAATATGCAGTCGCATCCTTTTCTGCAATGACTTGAAAAGGGCGCAAGGAGACAGCAGTTGTTACGGTCCGCCTGAACATAAAGCAAATACAGATTTCAAAGTTTCCATGACTGTGCTGAAATATTTCATTTGGGACAGTCATCACACGTGCCTCACCCGTTACACGTCAAACTCTTCACTTTGGGGAGATGCACAGATAAGCAGCTTATTCTTTGGGCAAACTGCTGCTTGGCGAGGGTAGAACACTATCATGCGATTTCAATTCCTGTCTATTACAGTCAAAACTATTGCTCTTCACTTCCTAACATGAAAACTCAAAGGAACCTTTGACCCAACATTACAGGTGATTCACTTTGTGTGAGGAGTGTGGGAGAGTGCAATAACGTGGGAGTAGCTGTTGTGGAGATATTGCCACGTCTGTACGAGGTGTCAGTGTGGGAAGGAGTCAAGCGCCACTCCCACAATACACAGTGTAAGGTCAACATAAAATTGCTGATAAGCACCGATCTCTTTAAGCATGAGAGCCCTTCCCTGTGACATTTAAAGGAAATTTGACAATAGATGGAAACTGCCACATCCCAAAGACTTAAAATTCAGGATTTCACATCCTGTTACTTCAGTTGTGACCTTTTTGTGTGTTCATTTGTGAGTCAGTCAACATTATCTGTGGATTATCCCTTTAATCTCTTTTACTCAGCTAACTGTCGTCTGTGGGAGGGAAAGAATCAGAGAATAAAATGTATATTTTTGATCATCGTTACTGTGTTACGGTCATTGTACTGCTCCTTGTTTATTGGTGTAATCCTTTAATCCTTTGCATTTATGTTTCCTGAGTCCCTTCCTTTTTAATGTCCTCCTATATTTATGGGCTCAAAATGTGGTCATAAATATTTTGTACTTGTAAATCAGTTTTGTATGTGTAAAAAGAATTTGTGTGTGTGTAAAAAAGATTTGTGTGTGTGTAAAAAAGATTTGTGTGTGTGTAAAAAAGATTTGTGTGGACTGTGTGGACAGTTTGAAGCTGGAGGATCTCTGTGTAAATGATAGAAACTAGGTCCCGTAACTTTCAGCAGTTGTTGAAAGGATAACGTTGTGTTATATCAGTGGTTAGAAATACCATTATTACTTTAGGATTAGTTTAACACAAAGTCAGGGCTGACCCGGGACCATGGCTGTGAGTCACAGTGGGCAGCATAAAGGTCCTTTCACATCGGACGCAGGATGTCCTGCTAATGCTAACTAAAAGCAAAGGATCCAGAATTTGTTGCGCTGGCTGCTGGGCTCTGTGGGTTTTTGCAGCAGCTCTACCTGTACTAGATGCACCTGCT